TCCCTTTCTCAAATGGGTCTCCCTCCCTGTGGGTTTCCCTAGTTCTCCCCAAGGTTTCTCACTTTTTCCCACTGGGTTTTTTAAGAGTTTTTCCTTGTCGATGCAGGAGGGTCTTGTTGGACAGTTAGTGTCCAACAGAAAGGATTGGTGATGATCAGGACACTTTAGCATTCTACAACATGTATGGACATTTTCTTCTGTCTGTGCTTTATATTTTTCATGTGTTTTAACTGTTGATTCTCTGACCTGTGTTGGTGATTTCAATGGTTTTGTTAAGTTCTCTGAGATGACTTCTGTTGTGACCTAGGGCTATACAAGAATAAATTATATTGTATTGTATTGTACGTTTACTTTGCACTCTGTCCTAACACAGTACAGACGTGTTGATGCAGCCGTTACTGCAGCCGTGCTTGTTGGTTTGCGCGTATGTAAAGTTTCATGTCTAGCAGTGTGTGTGATGCGTTCACAGGTAGTCCGTACAAACTGTATTGTTGAAAAGCACACAGTGCGGGCCAGAGAACTGTAGAGCAGTAAAATCCACATGTATGTGTTTGTCCTCATGGTGTCTGTGGCTGCTGTGGTCAGACGAGTCTCTCTAGGCTGCGTGAAGCGGAGAGGCCAACACTGTTTACTCTAAAGTCACGCTTGATCTCGAGAGATGTTGTGAGATTTCCGGTGACCTGTGAATGCTCGGGGGTGAAATCGGTTCGTGTGTGATGTGTGGGATTTGCGTGATTTTGCCGTGTGGCTGCACACCACACACTGTACGACCAAAGTGGTTGGACCCGTGATTTTTTATCTCCGTGTGTGGGGTCTCTCACGGAGAAAAAAAAATCGGCTGACAATTTTAAAATCGTCTCGTGTGAACCAGGCTTTAGTACCAATTGAGCATCATTGCCAAGCCACAGCCCACTTGAGAATTGTTGCTGACCATGTCCATCCCTTTATGACCACAGTGTACCTATCTTCTGATGGTTACTTCCAGCAGGATAAAACACCTTGTCATAAAGCTCAAATCATTACAGACTGGTTTCTTGGAGATGACAGTAAGTTCACTGGCCTCCACAGTCACCAGATCTCAATCCAATAGAGGAACTTTGGGATGTGGTGGAACTGGAGATTCGCATCATTGATGCAGCCGCCAAATCTGCAGAAACTGCATTTTGCTATCAAATATTGATTCTATCTTTTCAACACGTAAGCGAGGGTCTGGAGAGCCCGTGTGTCCGGACGGGACTTTACCTGCGGGGTATACTCTTGACAGCTGGAACAAGTTTCAGCTCCTCTGTCTGTCGACCCTGTCTATTGAAGATTCGGAAGACGTATATATCTTTGTCATTTTGGTAGTGGGGATCCTCCTGTTTGGGTTTGGAGCGGTCCTCTTCTACCCCAAATTCGGTGGCATGGCAGTTCGAAAGATTCACGAGCTGCTGGCCAACAAAATTGATGGGATGTACAAGGAGCTAAGCCGCGTCGTGGTTGAGAGTGCCGTGTCTGGACAAAGGAGAGTGGTGTTGGTGGAACAGTTGATAAAAGACCTCGCAGCTCGTTCACTCGAAGGGAATAAAACATTGGAGATGAGATTGAATGACATCGTGTGTCAGGCTTGAACTCTCTGACCCGGCTTGGATTTGCCCCTGTGTACGGAGGTCTGAGGGCGCCGCAATTCGGTTTAATTGGATTTAATAGAATATCTGCCTGCTTTTGACTGCTACATTGCATGTAATATTGCCCCTTTCAGGCGATGTGTTTTTCTCCTGCTGTGTCTTCTCTCCACTCTTATCTCACATTCCTCGTCCAAGGCCATAAAACAAGGTCCCCCTATCTACAACAACTCACACTATTCAGTCTCCAGCACGGATCCCGCTCCCCCCACCTCCCTCTACCTATCCATCTTGCTCCCTCCCTCCCCTCCACTCCTCATTGTTTTTCCGACTCACCCCCTCCCTGACCCCCTCTGACAGCCACATTGGGCCGGCAGTCGGAGGTTCTCATCCAGAGAAAAAAATATGTGGTTTATACAAAGCACAATGTGTCTATCCAATTGTCTGTGAACTGTATGTTATTGCTCTCTGCTGTGTCTTGCTGCACACAGCGCCGCAAATGGCGAAGTGGCACGCTCTCTGCCAAAACAATTTCCATGTGGTAACTTTGTTACTTACGTGGCTATAAAAATGATTCTGATTCTGAAATATGGACCAAACTCCAGAGGAATGTGTCCAGTACCTTGTTGAATCTATGCCACGAAGGATTGAGACGGTTTTGAATGCAAAAGGGGGGGGGGGGGGTCCAACCCAGTACTAGCAAGGTGTACCTAATAAAGTGGCCGGTGAGTGTACATACACACAATACATATATACTAGTGCTGTCCAAAATATCGCGTTATTAACGCGTTAACGCAAATCAATATTAACGGCGTCATTTTTTTTATCGCGCGATTAAAAAAATATTTTTTTTTTTTTTTTTTTACTTTTTATTGCAGACAAACACATATACAGAAAAAAAAATTGAGACAAAGAAAAGGACTAGTTCAGATACATTGTAGACAGAGATTACAAACAATATGTAGTTGGAGATACAGGGGGCCAAAGAAGAAACCCAGAAGGGCACATAGGAGGGGGGGGGGGGGGACATGAAGTGGGAGATGGGGGGTTAATAAAAAAGGCAATACAAGCAAACAGTATACAGTCATAGATATACCGAAAGTAAACAGAGAAACAGCATAGAGTATTTACATGAACAAATTTACAAAATATTTAAAAAAGCTATTGCACACAGCACGCCTATTCACTTTTTAGTAGTATTAAAATGATAATTCATGGGACATAAAGAATAGATACAAATGTGTGACTAATTTGCGATTAATCGCGAGTTAACTATGAAATTCATGCGATTAATCGCGATTAAATATTTTAATCGTTGGACAGCACTAATATATACACATATACATTTGACATTAAGCTTAAAAATCTAGTCGTCGGCGACAAATGCGCACATGTTTTACAAGTGATCAATTTACTCGCTTAAATGGTAGCGACATACTTTTTTTCTCTCCGTGAAGTAGACATCCCAGGCATTACGGAAATACCTGTGGTTTGTCTGTGGCCCGTATGGAGGATATACTACGTGTGTATGAAAGTCAGTGTCCAATCGGATCTTCGAGCAGTGACCTGTGCACCGGAAAACGGCCAATTGTAAAGTTTTTCACTCACGCTGGACTCACACGGGGAATCACACAAAGATTGTCAGAGAGTAAGATGGCTCACTCCTCTGTGTACTTGCTGCAGCATAGGCAGCAGCGCTCAGAGGAGCCAGAGGAATGCGCATTTGATATAGACAATAATAAATACAGTAAAATTATATTATGTGTATAAAATGTATTTATATATAAAAATTAGATGTTTTATTTATATTTTTGTCTTAGTTTCTTATGTTTTACGTATTTTACAGCTGTGATACTGAAGAAACCCCAGCCTTATAGACAAACTGATTCAGGAAGGGCATCAGGAGTACAGCGTTTTTGGCTTTTATAGTGTAATATTGTAAAAATTATAATAGTCACAGGTTCAATTTTTTTTCCCATTATCCCCAAGTCCCTAAATAACATCTCTATGCAGTGCAAAAAGTTGTTTATAGCATTTCATAATGTTTTTTCAATACATTTTTGTGAAATTGATTTTCCGTTTTATTTTTTTCTTTCATGATTCCATAATTTGATATGACAGCTCTACAATATAAATATTCTAAAACCCAGGTTGTACTGAAAAAAACAAAGTATACTGCTTGACTCTGCATCAAAAAATGGCTTATGAGCAATTATACACAAAGAAAATCAGGCGAGGAAAGTTCCCCAAAATAAACCTAGACCTTGGAGCAGGGGTCGGCAACTCAAAAAGTTCAAAGAGCCATATTTGACCAGAAATACAAAAAACAAATCTGTCTGGAGCCGCATAAACGTAACTCCCTTGTAAAAGGCTTATATGAAAGCAACACAGGCTGTGAGCTGTATTAGCCTAGTATCAAAATGAGTAAGTATAGGCTACAAATACATAATATGCATTCATGATTATTATATGTATTTTCACTGTAGTGCAAGAGAATGACGCACCATGTGACTACTCTGCTATAAGATATATGCTTTAAGTTTAACTTTCCTTTTGTTGCATTCATGCAATTTCAGAAATACAGTAAATAAATCCGTTTTTGGCTCAGACTTCACATACCTGCATTACAGCACTGTCTGTTTATATCGATCACGTCACACGTCGTCACGGCTAGAGTTCGCTGGAGCTGAATGTCCCGAACAGTGTTTCGCACTTCTTTGTTCCTCGTGTTGCAACACAATTCAGCAGTAGAAGTTTGGAGATGAATCCGCTCCAGAATAACTGCGATCGCACTGTTTCTCTCCAAACTGGGGTCAGCAGCCAATTTTCCACATGACTCTTTTTGTTCTTTGATATATTACAAAGCAAAAAGGAAGCAGTCCTTACTCATTGACAATGAAAGCAAATGTTCCAGTCCATTCTTCCCTGAATTCTCGGTTCTTATCAACTCTTTCTCAATATAGCTTTGGGATTCATGTGGCACATGCCGGTTTGTTTACAACAGCAGCCGCCCGGCGCGGGGCCGCGTAACCGCGCGTCGCAGGATATGACGTAAATCTCAGTTTACAGAAATGTTAAAATTGAATATTTCTCATGCACATTTTTACTACATTGGAAAAGGTTAAGAATGTTGTCCTTCCTACAGAAACCACATTGAAACTAGAAATAAAACATACCCCTCCCACTCCATTTTCAGACATTTTTGAAAAGGCTCCAGGAGCCACTCGAGGGGCACTAAAGAGCCGCATGCGGCTCCGGAGCCGCAGGTTGCCGACCCCTGCCTTGGAGGGTTAAACTACAATAAGGCCTGGTATGCATTAGTGCATTGCCGCCTCGTCCGATTTGTTCACGTTATACATTGCCATGGATGTTTTGTTGGGACACACTACTGATTACCTGCCCTTCACGTCCATCTGTGCTTTGGAGCCAAGGCGGTCCTTGACCGCCCTCTTCCTCTTGGCCTCTCCGCTGGTCCTGTCACCATCCTCAGTCCCTCTGTTCTTCATGTACTCGTCCAGCTGCACGTCCAGCATGTGCACCTCTCCATCGCCTTGACCCTGCCGCTCCAGCTCGCGTTCCTTCTCCATCATTTTCCGGGCCAGGACATAGTTATAAGTCTCCACGTTTCTGCTGGACGTGTCCAGCTCTGCGTCCATGCCGAACACACACAGCTCTGCGGCCACTGCGTCCTGGCACTGCTCCTGCACCACGGAGCCCCAGATGTTGTTGACTTTTCGTTCCGGGGCGGCGAGTGCAAGGGGGGGAGCTGGGGGCGCACAGTGGTGGTTGTTGTTGGTCACTTTCTGCCTTTTCCGGCGCCACAGGGCCGCATCGTCATCCGAAGAATCCTGGTCACTGTCACTCGAGATAGCAAGGCCTGGTGCAAAAGTCACATAGTATGATTACACTATGACCACAGCATGTTACACAATCAAAAGAGAGATTTTATCTAATTTGCACTAAAATGTCAAAAAACTGACCAGGAAATGTAGGGAGCACTACAACAAACATATTTATGCAGTTTATGAGTGAAAAAAAGTTGATTTGGTGTTTAGTCACTAATCCATAGAGAAAAAGATTTGAACCTATATTCATGGGTGCTCGACCAATGATAAATCTCCCGGACAATCTTTAATAACAAAACTTTAGAAAGTAAACGTTTGTACTTGTAGAACAAAGACCAAGACAAACCGTCCAATTCCTATGAAGAGTATTGGATAACAACAAAAATGGGACCAAAGAGATGAAGGCTCAGTATTGAATGAAGCCTTTATTGTAACCGCTGGGCTGAAAGCTTCCTTTGAATTATTGCTTCTTGCGTTTATGGTTCAATATTTAGGATAATAGCAATGCTGTGGTTGTTTTCATGAAAAAGAAAAAAAAAAAATTCCTGAGATGGAGGTCTAACCTTCAGTGGCGGCCACATTGATAATACATTTTGATGTCCTCTAGGCAACCTTTTTGCAACCACTGTTTGAGACCACTGCTTTAGGTTTACATGCAATATCCAGGTAGATGAACAAGAACAACACACAAAGCCAGCGGAACCTGGGCAGCTGCGATAGCCGGGTGGAGGTGCCTGCTTGTTGGAGACTCTGCTGTGGAAAGCTTGGCCGCTGAATGCTGCTGGGGACGCGGTCTGCTGTGGCCCTGGTCCAGGCGTCATTTCGGAATCCGAGCCGGAGACCTCCCCGTCTTCCAAATCCGCATCCATCACTGGTTTGGTCGACTTAACAAAACACAGGGGACGATGTTAGTCCTACTTTCCCCAATGGTAACGTAAATGCATTCCCTGGAGCGACAATAAACCAGCACTTGCGTTTTCCGTTTTAACCTTAGATGGACAAAAGTTGTTTCGCTGGGGATTTTTAACTAATTTGGACGACGTATTCTTGCTAACCAAGGTGGAGAAAACTTGCACCGCTTGCTCTCAGTACCACGCGGATCTTTTCTTCCTGGTGCACACTGTCAAAACATTACGCACGGCTGAAACCATACCGCATTACACACGACGACAATCCATAATAAAACATATTTATGCTTTGAAACGTGTGTATTTGGTAAACATAGCTAGTCACGTATATACCATGGATTGTAAATATTAGATACAGGTTTTTTTTAAGCTTTGATACACGTGTAACATTTTAATTTGAAGTCATCGTCACTTACTGTCACTGTTAACGGCGCATGCGTACTCTGAAGAAGCAGCAACATCATGGCAGCTTGCTTGAGGAGTCTCGCGTCCTCGGGGAAAACTGTGATTACAAGACACTTTCTGCATCAAAACAGCCTGCTCTGGGTGAGTTGTGGGTTTTTAATTTTCTCACTGTTAATAACACTCAGAGATATAACTATCTAGGACGCACAATCTTGAGTTAGAGGTGTCTAAGGCTAAAACCTTAGTTACCCCACATATTATTGGCAATGTTGTCATTAAATTCATGCTACAGGAATGTTTAGCGATCCAATGTTTTGTATCATATGTGTGTAGTTTGCAGTAGCCCTAAAGGTGACTGATGACCTTCATCATCATGACTAGTGGGTTTTACATGACACACGAGTACCGCAGTTTGTAAACACACCAGGTTGCATCCAATTTCATAGAAACAAAATCGTCCTCCTTTAAAAGAAAGGTAACCTAATTCGCCTTGATTAGTCTTCAAACTCCGTCCATCCATTTTCTTCCCCTTTTTTATTAATTAATCAAACCTGGAATTGCTCTTTCATGTGACTACATCATTTTTTTATTAATTCAAATTCAGCCCAAGTTTCCAGAGTCTCTGACCACATGCATATGTACCAGTGATGGAAAGTAGGGCTAAAGAAATATTTAAATGGAAAATTTGTTTTTGATTAAAGGCACTCACTAGGACTGGGATAAACGATATTTTTTTAATGATTTATCTAGCGATTATTTGTCGAAGCTGGTATCATTACCCACGTTAGCAGTGTTGGCTCCAAACATATATATGACAAAAGAACCAGCCTATCAGGGCTCTGCTAACTGATAGCATATCCTTGACGATTTGCGTCAGCACAAAATAGCAGTCAGCTCATTAAATATGCCGAAATTTCTAAAAATCATTGTGGCTAAACTAGAGTGGTCCAAAAAAATTCACTCCCCTCAGCATTGACACACATCTGGAATGTAGCTTTGAGTCAAGAGCCGACTTTTGGACAATCCTGTAAAGACTTTTTTGAGAGACTGTTTCCAAAGCACAGACTGGGACATGATCTGCAGCTCTCATGGTGATGACATCGAGAGCCTGACACACTGTATTACAGACTATATCCTCTTCTGTGTGGATAACACTGTACCGACTAGGAAGGTACGGTGCTTTTCCAACAACCACCCATGGATGACCCCTGAGCTTAAAGCCCTCCTGAACCTCAAGAAAAGGGCTTTCATCTAAGGGCACAAAGAGGAGCAGAAGAGGATCCAGCACGAGCTCCAGTGGAGGATCAGGAGGGCCAAGAAGGAATACGTGAAAAAGCTGGAGCAGAAGCTGGCTCAGGGAAACGTCCGCAACGTGTGGAGAGGACTAAAGAACATCTCCGGCTTTAGACAAAGTGCCAGCGGGACAGCGGATGGAGACCAGCACCGGGCGGATGAAGTTAACCAGTATTTCAACCGGTTTGATTCTCCCCCCTCTCCATCTGCCCTCTTCACACGACCCCAGCCCAGTGGACACCGCCCAGTGGACACTGCCTTCGGCTGCCCCGGTCCCTCCTGCCCCCACATCCCCGGCCCCCACCTCTTGACAGCACACCCCGGTCCCTCCCCCCCCCCCCCCCCTCCCCCCTCCCCCCCTCCCCCCCCCCTCCCCCCCCCCCCCCCCCCCCTCCCCCTCTCCATCTGCCCTCTTCACACGACCCCAGCCCAGTGGACACCGCCCAGTGGACACTGCCTTCGGCTGCCCCGGTCCCTCCTGCCCCCACATCCCCGGCCCCCACCTCTGACAGCACACCCCGGCCCCGCTTCAGTCAGCTCCAGCGACTGAAGCAGAGGAATTCCGCAGGACCGGACAAGATCATTCCCAGGCCTGCTGAGGACCTGTGCAGACCAGCTCTCTGGGGGGTCCTCAGCTACATGTACAACCTGAGCCTCAGCCTGTGGAAGACCTCCTGTGTGATCCCGGTTCCTAAAACAGCGCACGCCAAGGAACCAGCTCACTACAGACCAGTCGCACTGACCTCCCACCTGATGAAGACCATGGAGCGGCTCTTCCTCACCCATCTCCGCTCCGTGGTCAGCCCCACCCTGGACCCGCTGCAGTTCGCCTACAGGCCCAACATCGGAGCAGAGGACGCCGTCATCTACTTCCTGCAGCGGACGCTCTCCCACCTGGAGCCCGCCGGGAGCGCTGTGAGGGTCATGTTTTTTACTTCTCCAGTGCTTTCAATACCATCAGACCGGCACTGCTGCGGGGTAAGATGGAGGACGCGGGAGTGGACAGTAGCCTCACTGCATGGACCATCAACTACCTCTCAGACCGACCACAGTACGTGCGGCTCCGCAGCTGTGAGTCTGAGGTGGTAGTCTGCAGTACTGGGGCCACTCAGGGCACTGTCCTCTCACCGTTTCTCTTCACCATCTACACCTCAGACTTCACATACGACACACACAGCTGTCACCTGCAGAAGTTCTCCGACAACTCCGCCATCGTGGGCTGTGTGTCTGAGGGGAACGAGCTGGAAATCGGTCGGTTATCAAGGACTTTGTCAACTGGTGTGAGCGCAACCACTCCTTGGTCTTACTTGAACACCAGTAAGACCAAGGAGATGGTCATCGATTTCAGGAGGAAACCTCTTTCCCACACGCCGCTGAACATCCAGGGGGAGAACATTGAGCTGGTGGACAGCTTCAAGTACCTGGGTGTTCACATTAACAATAAACTGGACTGGTCCTTTAACACTAACGCCCTGCACAAGAAGGGCCAAAGTCGCCTCTTTCTTCTGAGGAGGCTGAGGTCCTTCGGAGTTAGCAGGCCTCTGCTCAGGACTTTTTATAACTCTGTGGTAGCCTCTGCCATATACTACACTGCCGTGTGCTGGGCCCCGGGCAGCACAGAGCGGGACAGGAGTAGACTGAACAAGCTGGTCAGGAGGGCCAGCTCCACTCTGGGCTGCTCCCTGGACTCTGTGGAGGAGGTGAGAGACAGGTAGCCTGGCTCTGCCAGACCCTTGTAGTTCCGCCATGCTCCACCAGAGGCGTTTGGCTGAACCACATGGGTCTGGTATCGACGCCATAGCGAATGCCTTCCCCAGATTATTTTTTTATCGACCAATCAGGATTGCCGGTGTTACGTGGGGTTTGCACTGCCTTCTCAAGTTTCTCTCATGCAGCAGCGAGACGAATCCAAGATGGCGCACGTAAAGTCCGCAAATCTTTTTAAAAGAGTAAATACAATCGAATTAAGACACGGATGTCACTTTTAATGCAATTTGAGGCGAGATGTTGATGGTTCTATGTTGATATATGTGTGTTTTAAGAGTCAAATGTTCCTGTAAAGTTTGGTTGAAGCACTGGTTCAGTGTTCCTGTTTACACACTATGCAGCAGGGTTGCCAGGTTTGGTGGTTCCCACATATTTTTTTCCAAGAGACTTGTAGGTATTAAATAAACAGAAAGACAATAAACAGAATCATGATAGCCCAAGTCTATTACATTACGTTTTTAGCCAAAAAATTGTTGTGTGTTATTTTTTTTGGGCATTCTCGCGGATTTTGGGTTGGGAAATCTTGCAGGGATTTGGCAACCTATGGGAGCCGTGTGCTTCGATGTGAGTGGTTGAAAGCAGACTTCATTCAAGATAACGGACAAGTGGTCTATCCAATCACATACAGTGCCTTGCGAAAGTATTCGCCCCCCTTGAACCTTTCAACATTTCGCCACATTTCAGGCTTCAAACATAAAGATATAAAATTTTAATTTTTTCTCATGAATCAACATCAAGTGGGACACAATCGTGAAGTGGAACGAAATTTATTGGATAATTTAAACTTTTTTTTTAACAAAATAAAAAACTGAAAAGTGGGGCGTGCAATATTATTCGGCCCCTTTACTTTCAGTGCAGCAAACTCACTCCAGAAGTTCAGTGAGGATCTTTGAATGATCCAATGTCCTAAATGACTGATGATAAATAGAATGCACCTGTGTGTAATCAAGTCTCCGTATAAATGCACCTGCTCTTTGATAGTCTCAGGGTTCTGTTTAAAGCGCAGAGAGAACCATGAAGACAAAGGAACACACCAGGCAGGTCAGAGATACTGTTGTGGAGAAGTTTAAAGCCGGATTTGGATACAAAAAGATTTCCCAAGCTTTAAACATCTCAAGGAGCACTGTGCAAGCAATTATATTGAAATGGAAGGAGTATCAGACCACTGCAAATCTACCAAGACCCGGCCGTCCCTCCAAACTTTCATCTCAAACAAGGAGAAGACTGATCAGAGATGCAGCCAAGAGGCCCATGATCACTCTGGATGAACTGCAGATAACTACAGCTGAGGTGGGGATGGTGTGTTCAGGGTGATGAGCTGTGTTGCTTTTACGTTGCCTGCCGCGCAGCATCGAAGTTTTCTAACTACGTAAGGGTCGCCGCAAGGAAGCTTCGCTCTGATTGGTCCCTGTGTGTGTTTTGGAAGGAAGCACGGAGCGGCTGCAGGAGCATGGACGAGGCACTATGGAGCAGACTGCTTCACGCTTCGAAGAAACCAAAGGAAAAGTAGTTTGGGCTCATGGCAGAGCCTGATATACGCGGAGACTGTGGACTTGAGTTCTGTTGCATATCTAACATATATATAACTTATAAACTGCAGTCGTTTCATTTGCACTGTTCCTGTCTTTGTTTGAATCGTAGCTTATCGCGTCTGTTCCATTCCTCCTGTACTTATAAATTGTTCATGTTTGCCTCAGATATTTACCACTTTTTGTATGCTGTTTGTGATGAATACAATTTAATAACTGTTTCCAACAAGAACTGTGTCTTTATTCACAAAATCACAGTTAAATGAGTTAAGAAATAATGAGTCCATAGAACTATCACATAAACCTACTGTAGAAACACATGTAATGATCTCAAACAGCTTTGTTTTTGTTTATTGTTTTTGTTCTGAAGAGGAGAAAATAGCAGCGTAAATGAGACCGCTTTGGTATCTCAAGCAACTCCTGTGAGATCGCCATCGTGTGGTTGGTTGTGCAATCACAACATTCTCCTCAAAACTCCGCAAGGAGTATAAATTAAATTGTGCTTGCGTAGGTCCACCGCAACCGCTAACGTAAGCAGCGCCGCGCAAGTATACACTAGGCTTTACCCTGCACATGGACTGTTCCAATCCAACCCCTCCCCTCAGGCAGGAGGCTACGGTCCATTTGGACCAGAACCTCCCGCCATAAGAACAGTTTCTTCCACTCTGCTGTTGGACACTTGAACACTTCATAACCTGTCACCCTGCTGACCTTTTATAAAGTCACTTTACTGCCCATCATAACGTCATTTTACTGCTGTCACCTTATTGCACTGCTTACTGCATATTGTGTGCACCATGTGTACTTGTATATAGTAATTGTAATAATTTTATTTCAATCTTTATACCTTTATAAGTGGATCCTGATTTTTACTATGCCTTAATCTAGGGCCGGGCAATAAATCAAATTTTGGCAATTAATCGGCTTTTGAAAAAATCGAATTCGTGAAAATCGTGAAATCGAATGAGGGATATTGTGAGAGTTCCAGCAGCACATCAATTATACTTGCAATATCAGCACAGCCTGTACAAGACTTTTATAATATGTATTGGGGGAACAAATAAAAAATAGTTTTGAAACTTAAATATTGAGCGGGAAGAAAAAATATTTTAAGGGCAAAGTCTGTCTTGAGTGACTTTAATGAAAATCAATTTAAAATCGACATCGTCCAAAGCAGGAAATGAAATCGAGATTTTACTTTTTTGCCATATCGCCCAGCCCTACCTTAATCTATTCTTTACCTCTCTTCTTTGACTGTCCACCGAGCCAAAGCAATTTTCTAGTCTGTAACGTCCTGTTACGGGGCAATAAAGAAGATTTTGATTTTGTGTCCGGTTTCCTCCGGGGGCTTTTGTTTCCCCATGTATAATTGTGGTGCTGCTAACATTTTATTGTTGTCAGACCTCTGAAGCTAAGCAGGTGGGTAGAGTGGCTGATGGCACATACTACCTGCTTCGCTTATCTCTGTCTGCTCCAGGACAGTGGGGGCTACAGGACGAATCTGAGTGAATTATTAACTCTTGGGTGTCATGAAAAGCGCTGTATAAATAGTGAGCATGAAACATCTTGTAGCCCCAGATAAAATCTTATCACGTGTCCTCACAGACAAGAGCAGTGTGACATATGTTTTGTGCTTCCCTCACAGCGGCTCCTCACAGCGGCTCCTCACAGACAGGTGGCGGTGCAGGCAGCGCAGTGTGTGGCTTTGAACGTTCCTCAAACTAAAGTGACGACTTTAGAGAACGGCCTCCGCGTGGCGTCTGAAGACTCGGGCCTCCCTACCTGTACTGTGAGTCCAAAAAACCAGCACAGTGCAGGACTAAGTAGACCACTCTTTCCTAAATAAGCAGTTTTCAATTCAGAATGTTCACATATAGTATATACATAATTATCCCAAAATTGTTTATGAATAACTGTTTCAGCCATGTACCAGATATAGCCACAATTAGACTCTGAACTAGAAATGTAATGCGAACAGCCCATACAATAACTCCCAGCAGTGCAGAAATATCCCAAGTCCTTTCTCTTTCTCATACCTCCTCCTCTCATATCCTCACAGGTCGGCCTTTGGATTGACGCTGGAAGTCGCTATGAAAATCAGAGAAATAACGGAACGGCACATTTTCTGGAGCACATGGCATTCAAGGTGAAGGCAGGACCTATGCATGTGGACCTGTTGAGGGTTAAAGCTTGTAATGATTCAGAACATGAAATCACCCCTTAAGCTCGTTAAACGAAAAAAAAAAATACATCTGTTGTCAATAGCAGATATATTTTGAACTTCATAACCCACAAGCTATATATAATTTTAAAGCTTATTTTCTCAGCTACATTTATATATTATATATAATATATTTATATACAGTGACTTGCGAAAGTATTCGGCCTCCTTGAACCTTTCAACATTTCAGGCTTCAAACATAAAGATATAAAAATAAAAAGTTTTTGTCAAGAATCAACAACAAGTGGGACACAATCGTGAAGTGGAATGAAATTTATTGGATAATTTAAACTTTTTTAACAAATAAACTGAAAAGTGGGGCGTGCAATATTATTCGGCCCCCTTGCGCTAATACTTTGTAGCGCCACCTTTTGCTGCAATTACAGCTGCAAGTTGCTTGGGGTATGTCTCTATCAGTTTTGCACATCGAGAGACTGGAATTCTTGCCCATTCTTCCTTGCAAAAGAGCTCGAGCTCAGTGAGGTTGGATGGAGAGCGTTTGTGAACAGCAGTCTTCAGCTCTTTCCACAGATTCTCGATTGGATTCAGGTCTGGACTTTGACTTGGCCATTCTAACACCTGGATACGTCTATTTGTGAACCATTCCATTGTAGATTTGGCTTTATGTTTTGGATCACCATTATGCTGCCACCACCATGTTTGACAGTGGGGATGGTGTGTTCAGGGTGATGAGCTGTGTTGCTTTTACGCCAAACATATCGTTTTGCATTGTGGCCAAAAAGTTCGATTTTGGTTTCATCTGACCAGAGCACCTTCTTCCACATGTTTGGTGTGTCTCTCAGGTGGCTTGTGGCAAACTTTAAACAAGACTTTTTATGGATATCTTTGAGAAATGGCTTTCTTCTTGCCACTCTTCCATAAAGGCCAGATTTGTGCAGTGCACGACTGATTGTTGTCCTATGGACAGACTCTCCCACCTCAGCTGTAGTTATCTGCAGTTCATCCAGAGTGATCATGGGCCTCTTGGCTGCATCTCTGATCAGTCTTCTCCTTGTTTGAGACGAAAGTTTGGAGGGACGGCCGGGTCTTGGTAGAATTGCAGTGGTCTGATACTCCTTCCATTTCAATATAATTGCTTGCACAGTGCTCCTTGAGATGTTTAAAGCTTGGGAAATCTTTTTGTATCCAAATCCGGCTTTAAACTTCTCCACAACAGTATCTCGGACCTGCCTGGTGTGTTCCTTTGTCTTCATGGTTCTCTCTGCACTTTAAACAGAACCCTGAGACTATCAAAGAGCAGGTGCATTTATACGGAGACTTGATTACGCACAGGTGCATTCTATTTATCATCATCAGTCATTTAGGAAAACATTGGATCATTCAAAGATCCTCACTGAACTTCTGGAGTGAGTTTGCTGCACTGAAAGTAAAGGGGCCGAATAATATTGCACGCCCCACTTTTCAGTTTTTTATTTGTTAAAAAAGGTTAAATTATCCAATAAATTTCGTTCTACTTCAAGATTGTGTCCCACTTGTTGATTTCATGACAAAAAATTAAAATTTTATATCTTTTATGTTTGAAGCCTGAAATGTGGCGAAATGTTGAAAGGTTCAAGGGGGCCGAATACTTTTACAAGGCACTGTACGTCACAGTAAACTCAGATCCAATCATTTCAATCTGCAAAAGGAGTTAACCCCTCCCACCTGTTCACGGCGCTCAATGGAGCAAATCCAGACCTTAGTATGGAATGTAATTTGTACTATGGTGTGGTACAACCAGGCTAGTTCAGACTGCTCTTTTACATTTTGCCAAGTTTGAGCTTTGTTTACCCCCCAAAACAGGGTATCCTCGTGTTCCCTGACTTGTTAGCTTCAAAATGAGAGGTTCCTTGAAAAGATACAAGCAGGTTTCTGTCCATAGTACCCTTGTGAAAAAGACAAGCGGCATGCTTTTGCACTGGGTCCGTTTGGGTTTGTTGTTAGCTACACGGTTAGCGCAATGTGCGATGGCTGAATGATTGACATGTATAAGTAGCCAATAAAAAGAGCTTTCTATTGATGGGTGGGATTTACAAGAACCCCTGTTAATTTTCACAGTAAAAGCGTGCGTTTACTGTACAGCGTTTACTGCATTTACACTACAGTACTTAAAAATTAATTTTGAAAAAATTAAAAAAGAAATCACACACATTAGTAACTTATAAGTACCAAAACTAAAAAATATATGGTTTTTATGATAATGAAATGTCAGTAAAGCAATTTGGCACAGTTTGGCACACATTTTGGCACACATTTTGCCAAATTGGTTCCGAATGGCACTACTTGATAAAACTGCATAAAAACTAAAGAACTTAGAAGTCTGAAACTTGAGACAATTGTTGTCAACAACACAATGACCGTATAGTTTGAATATTGTCTTCTTCCAATGAAGTCTGCCTTTTTTAGGGCATTTATACATTGAATTTTTTAGGCGAGGTTAAAAAAAAAATATATTATACATTATTAGTATTTATTCTACGGCTCCTCACAGCAGCAGTAGAATGCTCCATTGATTTGAATGTAATTTCAAAACGTTCTACCGGTCATTATTTTCTATAACAGACCTCTCAGAACAATAATGACCGCTGCCCATTGCAACGCACTCTCTGCTTGTCTTTCAAATGCGTGGATAACTCCGCAAGTAGTTCCGGCCACTCCGGAGCTAGCCACGCTCAATCAACACACTTAAATGTTAATCGGAGAATACTTATACATATACATTCTTCACACACGTGCACGGACATTTTCAGAATTTTCTGGTCTTGTCTTCATGACAAAAATACAATTTCTCTGCGTCAAAAAGCGATCGTGAAAAACCTGGAAGTAGTTCCGGCCGCTCAATAAACGCAAATGCCAATCAATCAACGCAATGTTAATGTTAATCGGAGAGTAATTTATGCATATCCAGTCTTAATACAAGTGCACGGAAGTTTTCAGAATTTTCCGTTTACGTTTTCATGACAAAAACACTGATGTAATGCGAGAAAAGGCGATCCCGAAAAACCTGGAAGTAGATACCGGCACATTTTAAGATACCGGCACATTTTCGGACACATTTGCAGAGGATCGAATTATGGATTTAGGTTAGGTTTATGTATGGGTCACTCACCGCTTATGTTCAGAATTCTTTGTTCAGTTTTCATGCAGTTCCACAGAGTTCTAGTTTGGAAGTTGCCAGCCTAACTGTTGCTACTTATTTTCCGATAATGACCTGCGTAATATACGTTATCCCTTACATATTTACATAAACTAGATGGCTCTAGCTTTAAAATGATGCATTACACAAGCATGTGACATGTAAGATGTGTTTTTAAATAAGCAAAGACATTTGGGTATGCCCAACTTTTGTGCACGAGCCAAAACGATGCGGGAGTTTAAGAAGTAGAAAATGTATATGTACTCTGTAATGGTCAGGATTACCAGAGTGAGTGGGAATTTATATTCTGGTTTTATAATTCAGTCTCTAGCGTGGCACAATCTACATCTGACAAACGGCTGCATTTGAAGATGTATAAATGTGCAAGAATATAAGGGACTTATCTAAAGGAGAAGCCAAAAGTCTACTCAACTTTTCTCAATGTAACGTTTTTCTTTGAGTAACTGCTAACTTCAGTCTCCCTAGAGTAGCTCAGACCATCCATCCATAGTGGATAAAAGCATTTTATGCTACCTCATTTGGGTCACCCTAGGGTGGCCAGTCAAACCCACTACTTTGGGTTGGACTGGCCAGAACACACACAAACACATACACACACTTATGTCCTCCGGCTCCGGTCGTTCTGCTCGTACGCCACACTTTTCTGTCTTTCTTTCTCATTCATTCATTCTCAGCGCTTTACGTGTCCGCGGCGCGCCCGCACACACAGACAACACGCACGTGTCCCACTGCTGCATTTTGGGGAAAGACGTATCTCACACTTTGTCACATTGTCCTGATGCAAACAACACGTTGCCTGTTGGCTGCAGTAGCAGAATGTAAACAGGAAGAGAAGCGGATACTCTACTCGGACGTGTTTGTCGCTGAAGTTATTATTAGCGCCACCAGCTGGACCGGGCGTCGTACTACAGCAAAGTTGCGCTGGCACGGTTCAGAGGACACGTTCATGTGACCGCAGGCCGTTTTCACACCCCTGTGGCGACAATCCGGGCCACTTGGCCCAGTTCGCTTGTAAAAACCTATGTGACCATGCCCTTAGTGTCACTATTATTGTTCTCTATTGGCTTCACTCACTCTGAAAGTAATGCTCATTGTCTTTCATCACGTCACTATTATATTGAAAGTAAGTCAAACTGACATGAGCCTGTCTAAGTAAATAAATTATATTGTTAGAATGGTGTGCTAACAATAGATTTCCCTTCCGTAGTATGCAAAGACGCAGTTTTAAAGAACATGATTTGACTGGAAACATTCCCATAAGTAAAGTAGAATCTAATATTTTCTAATGTTTGAAAACACAGAAGGGGTGGAGCATGTGTAAACGGTGGTAAACACGGATAAATTACATTTTTACTTTTATTTGACTTGAAACTAGATTAATTCTGTTTTCCATGTCTCAAAAGACACATGTCCATATAAGTATGTTCATGAATTGTGTTTGTGTGTTTGGGCAGGGCACGAGGAAGCGCTCTCAGCTGGACCTGGAGCTGGAGATAGAAAACATGGGAGCTCACTTAAACGCCTATACGTCCCGAGAGCAGACAGTGTACTACGCAAAGGCTTTCTCCAAAGACTTGCCCAGAGGTACGCACAGCCACGTGTCATGAGTCTAATATGACAACATTGTGGCATTTTGTTATAATTTATCATTTAACATTGTGGCTGGGTTTATCTGGAGGCCATGTTGACAAGTCTGCGCATGTATTAGGAGAGACATTCTTAACTAAAGGCTCCTGATTTGAGGCCAGGCGGTGGACAGTGGACTACACTAATTTAGTCTGCATGCCTCAGTTTGGACGCAGGACAAGTGAGTGATGGTGACTCACCTCTTCAGTTGGCCACACTAATCCTTTGAGGGGCTTTAGGGGAACATCATCTGATTATTTTCAAAAATTGTCAATTATTTTCCAGCATAAAACGTACAATATTATAGAATTAATCCAAAAAATCAAATGGTTTCCAGACTCAAACCTTTGTAAAATATTAGGGCTGTCAACCCTAAATCGCGTTAACGCACGTTAATACATTTTTTTCATTAATCGCGTTAAAAGAATTAACGCATTTGACGCATGCCCATGCGTCCCATAATAACACTCAGAATGCCGCGGACCCATGCGCGTGTGTAAGACGGGGACAGAGCAGGTAGGCCCTCTGGGAATTCAAGTTTTGAAAGAATACACGCGTGACCGTGGGGCACTTGTTGTTTACTGTATGAACTCTGCATGATGAGCTGCGGGCGCCACAGCGCTCTGGACAGGTCCCACTTCCAGCGGCTGTGATCACGGCGAACGGCGCTGCGTAATGGGATCATATCCAAGACCACGCGCAGAACTATTACAGAACTATTCTCTAGTGTGCGTACGTGTCTTTGCGTAACCGATGCACACAATATGTACAGCGCTGAAGCTGGACTGCGGAGCCTCAGTCTCCTCCGTGTCTTCTCCCAAAGCGCACTCGCTAAATTAAAGCTGAGGTACCTAATTTTCCTTTCGACCATCAGTTCATGTTCGTTGTGCCAAAAAAAGTAATGGTGTGAGCAAATCAAACAGATTTAATGACATTCTGCATTTCAGACTATTTTGAAATGTCCCTCATCTGTAACAAACAATGGTTTTGGTCTGAGTCTAAACAGAAAGACAGAATGTTAATAATGTTAATGCCATTTTATATGGATTTATTGTTATAACAAACAAATACAGTTCATATGTTCACTAAGCTGTCATTTATCTTTCCATTCAAACAACAATTTACAGAAAAATACGGCATAATTTTGCCAATAGTTTGAAATGCGATTAATTACGATTAATTAATTTTTAAGCTGTAATTAACTCGATTAAAAAAATTAATCGTTTGACAGCCCTATAAAATATACATTTATGTTTCCATAAAGTGATAACTTTTAGAAATTACTCATTTAATTTTAATGATCAATTTACGACAGACCTGGGAAAATTTGTATTTAACTTTTATTTAACCTGGAGAACTTCAAGAGTGTCCTGGACAAAATACGGCCTGCCAAGCAAATTGATCCGGCCCGTTGCTCACTTTTCAAAAAAGTGTACTTTTTCTGGCATTTTCTACACTGCTTTGACGCATCCACAGTGCATCCGTGGCACTGCCCCCTCGAGCAGCGGTGTGTTTGAGACCAGCTCCTGTCATGTGACAAACATTTGCGTGATATGATCGCTCAATTTTCATTAGCCCTTAACAATGGCCGCTCATGATAAACAATTACACATATGCCGTTTTTCCACGGTCCGAGTACGGTACGTTTTGACTCTACACGGCGCGCCATGGCCCAGTTCGCGTGCTTTTCCATCAAAAATAGTACCCCCTAGTATGTCCTCAGCGTTGTCAGACCACGTCATTTACGTGTGACGCGTAACTAGTACTGGTGCGGTGCATGGATTTATTATAATACCAGAGCAAGTGTTTAATAGAAAATTCAGCACAACACGAGTAGTTTTTGAAAATGCTTATGTCTTAAAAGAATGACTCAGACACTGTGAAGTCAATGGTGCTGACTGCTCTGTACAATCTGAATGGGACATACCTGTAGCAACAGCAGCCTGTGTAGCAGAGGAGGAGGGCTGCATGTCCGAGGATACTGCTAGGCTATAGCTAATGCTAGCGCTAGCTCGAAACTCTGCTCACTCACTAACCCTGGATTCCAAAGCTACTACAATACTACACTTAACACATCTATCACTGCCATCAGAGGAGGATCCGGGGTTTAAACTCGTCATATGGCAACTCGAGCAGTAAAGGACCGAGGGAGAGACAGCGGCAGCCATAGGGGTAGCGAGTTAGCGGCTAAGCTAGGCTAAGCTAGGCTAAGCTAGGCTAGGCTAGTCCGGACTTGGGTCCGGACTACAGCAGACTCCGAGACCAGACAAACAATCAATACCCAAACCTCAGCTACAATAATAATAAATGAATGAAACACAGTCTTGGGATACAATCACAGATTTATTGAAAACAAAAGTCAAGTGCAAAACCAACAGTTTACAAAGTCAAAAGTACGTATGTCCAAGACCAGGTCCAGACCAGGTCCAGGCCAGGTCCAGATGAGAATACTCCGATCACTCATTACTCGTTGGTAATCTCCACACTTATGGGAAGGGATTCTCATACAAATATACACACAACAACTTAAATACAAGCACAAAACAGAATGACAACACGTGGATACTGCAGATTATACGAGATAAAGCACAGTAGCACAGGGAGGACGTTAGCTTAGCTTGCTATCGATAGCTAAATGAAGCTAAATGTAGCTAGCTCACTGTGTACAACAGAGAATCGAGCATTTACACAGTAAATACATTTCAGTGAGAGCTTTAGGGGGTTCGTAGCTAGCCAGTTATTTCCAGGATTACCACAGACTAGTCACAAATCCAGAGCTGGGTGATCTCCCTGAAAACTGTGTTGAGCCTTGAGCTGCCTTTAAATTCTTTCTTTTGGCCTGAAGAGAGGAACGTGTGGACCTCTTCCACCGACCAGGACCTGGACTTTTGGGGCTTTCTGTGCAATTCCATTTCTCTGGAGTGAGGAGGACGTAATGTAGCCAAAGCAGAGCCGAGCAGAGCAGCCTGTTTTAAAGATGGCGGTTGAGTTGTTTTTCCCCAAAGGGTCAGATGTCGCTTCCAGTGACGACACTCGTTGACCAATCAGTGTAAGGCAGTGGGCCGACGTGACGTCATGGCACGGGTACTATGGGGATGGAACCACGGCTGAGGCAGTACGGAAAAGTACTCAAATCTCCCATTCCATCCACTAGTGGAAAAGCAAAATAGGTGCGCCGTACCATACCGAAATGAACTGAACCGACACTGTGGAAAAACGGCATTACACTGCTAAGTATTTACTGCTGAAGTCTAAGGTAAAGCCGTGTGCTTAGTTAGCCAGGAGCAGATTCTTGTACTTTTTTTATTTTTTTATTGGACAGGGACAATGTAGTCGTACATAGTTGCAGGATGCAGCACATACAGAGTGTATAGTAAATGCTAATTTTCAACTCCTGTCCCTGGTTGAGCTTTTCCCTACAGTGCAACACATTAAACAGAATGAATAAAATAGGCCTAGCCCTAAAACACATATTTACAACAGTGATCTAACATTCAACACATTCCCCCCACCAATGACGGCTATACGGACAACACACATTCACAGTCGAGACGGTGGATAGCACTCTCGCTTCTCAGCAAGAAGATCCTGGGTTCAAATCCCGGTCAGAACAGGGCCTTTCTGAGTAGAGTTTGCATGTTCTCCCCGTGTCTGCGTAGGTTTCCTCCGGGTACTCCGGTTTCCCTTACCACTAAAAACATGTACAATACATGTACAATCTGGCATGCGCCTCCTGTACTGGCGACCCTGCTCCCATCTCTGTGTGGAGGAGACAAATGCCCAAAAATAAAAATTGTAAACCGCTTTATGACTCTGGTCTGTGAAAGGTGGTATATAAATAAAGATTACTTACTTACAGTCACGTGCACACTCACACACATACACACACACACACAAAATTCTCTTATTTACAAGTTTAGAAATGGGTGCATGTTTGGCTTTTTTTAAGCCACAGCCAGAGCTTTGACGTGAACTCCTTAAAATCCACAATTTTTTTCAGGTTAGTGGGCAGCGAGTTCCACAGTTTAGTTAAGATAAGATAGACATTATTGATCTCACACAGGATAAATTTACAAATGTGGTCAATTGGGACAATGACTACTTTTTTCCACGCTTCAGGGAATCTGCAAGTTCTTATTGAGAGATTGAATAGATGTGTCAAGGGTTTGATTAGTGCAGTCGGATAACTTGTTGTGAAGCAGACCTGTGTTCGTACTATGTATGTCATTTGATTTTGAACTTGATAAATTTGTTATTCTTGTTGTTTTTTTCATCAATTTTAGAAATTTGGAAACACACTGCATGGATCTGATAATTTTCATGCCTCAAAATGGCTATTTCTTTTATTGATTGGGCAAAGTGGTTGTTAAATTCATTGGCGATGGTGGCACTGTTGTTAACACTGTTGCCATTTATTGTGATTTGCGTAATTTCATTGTGCTTTTTGTTTTGTTAGTTAGACTGTTTTGAATGTTTCCAAAGGAAGTTATTATTTTTCCCTGTAGAATTGCCAATGATCTCAGTTTAGTAAGAGGCTTGTGCTTTATGCAGCTCTTTCACTACTTTATTTTGTAAACTTCTGTTTATTTTATTGTCTATGCCAAGTTTTGTCTTTAAGGATTTCTTGAGAGCTAGGTCACAAGATCTCATCAGTTTTCTTAAGTCGCTGTTGATCCAATAGGCCACGTGCTAGATTGAATATTTTTAACTTCCGTTCCAGTGTCATGGGAAATACTTTTTTTCAACGTTGTCTGAAACCTTCTAACAATATGAACATAATCTGAAGTTTCCACACAAAGAATCCTTGTCGTATTTTTGCAAGGGCCAACTGAAATTTGAACTTTTCATCATGTAAAGTAGTATGTAAATTGCCATTGACCCAGTTTCAACCAATCGGAGCGCCGGATTTCTTGGACATGAAGTCAGTGAGTCGGAGTGTTTGTCAACAAAGATGTCAG